TGCTGTGATTTTTGCTTCTGGTATTTTGTTAACCGCTTAATATTCTGTGGTGTGTAAAAGAAGAAAAAAAAACTGTATTAACTTTTAGAGTGGTGGGTGGGAGAGTTCAGGCTTAAAATTGATTGCATCAAAAACATTTTTGGCCATGAAATCCAAAAGGAAAAACGAGAAACAGAACAACCAATGAGAAAATGCTTCAGGGTTGTGTTGAATATTTACTTACTTGTAGAGAACTTAAAAATTGTTTATAATTTATGTTTGTTTGCAGCATGCGGAGGTTCCAGTCCCCACTCCAAAGAAAGGTGATATCTTGCTGAAATTGGAAGCTGCTAGTTTAAACCCAGTTGATTGGAAAATTCAGAAAGGCATGTTTCGGCCTCTTTTGCCCCGCAAATTCCCTCATATACCTGGTAAGTGCTGTTTTGCCTGGTGTTTGTAGTTGTGTATTTCAGATCTATGCATCTTTGACATCATAATATAGAAATTATTCCACAACACTAAAAAAAAGGTTATGTCTTTTTGGCACACCGGTGTTTCTGGGATGACCAACATGGTATCAAACTCAACTGAAAAATGAATAAAAAATTGAATGCTCTCTCGGTGACAAGAATTGAAGACTCCAGTTTTTTACCTGCCTCCTTTACAGACTCTGCTGTGCTTGTTTTTGCAAATCTTTTATCACTGCCTGTAGTTTTTGGTGATGTGAAATTTACTCAATTTTGTTAAGTTCTACTAGAATTTGCCTGTTCCCTGAAACAGTTAACTTTCTGGGAACGTATTGATTGACAAACTATTTGATCTTGATTAATTACTGCATCATTGGAACATAAAGCATACCCTCTGCGTCTCGAAGAGATTGCCATCTATGAAGAAGTGAATATTGAAAAGTGATCATAATGGTTACGGATTAATATATTTCAGTAAAATCTCTCATTCAGACTTTATTCATTTGTGGAAGTATTGGAAGAGTTGAGGTAGAAAAGTTAAACAAATTTGTGCTTTGATTTTTAAGTGGATGAATATCATTCATATATTGTTAGAAGAGTTGTTTTGTGAGTCATAGGCTGATAGGTTGGTTTGTTAACATTGATTAGCTAATGACAATCTTGGGAACAGTTACTGATGTTGCTGGAGAGGTTGTAAAAGTTGGACAAGGGGTCCAAAAGTTCAAACCGGGCGACAAAGTTGTGGCATTTCTCACCCACACTGTAAGTGTTCATGTTATTCCTTTGGTTAAGCTCCATTTCTCGAGAAAGTTTCACTTATAAATTTCATTTGTTTGTTAGAATGGAGGTGGACTGGCTGAATTTGCTGCAGCTAGTGAGAGCTTGACAGTTGCCAGGCCACCTGAAGTTTCAGCGGCTGAAGGTGCAGGCTTACCTGTTGCTGGTCTCACAGCTCACCAGGCTCTCACCCAAGCTGCAGGGGTCAAGCTTGACGGATCTGGCCAGCAAAAGAACATATTGATTACTGCTGCCTCCGGTGGTGTGGGTCAGTATGCAGTCCAACTAGCAAAGCTCGGAAACACTCATGTTACAGCCACGTGCAGTGCTCGTAACATCGAATTTGTCAAGAGCTTGGGGGCAGATGAGGTTCTCGACTACAAGACCCCAGAAGGAGCAGCTCTGAATAGTCCATCTGGTAGGAAATATGATGCCGTGGTCCATTGTGCAACGGGCATTCCCTGGTCAACTTTCGAGCCTAATTTGAGCGCCAACGGGAAGGTTATAGACCTTACTCCTAGTCCAAGTGCCTTGGCTACTTTTGCTCTGAAGAAACTCACCTTCTCCAAGAAGCAGCTGGTGCCACTGTTCATGAGTGCCAAGGGTGAGAACCTTGATTATCTTGTCAAGTTAGTGAAGGAAGGAAAGCTCAAGACTGTGATCGACTCGAAGCATCCTCTGAGCAAGGCTGAAGATGGTTGGGCTAAGAGTATTGATGGGCATGCAACTGGGAAGATAATTGTGGAGCCTTAAGTAGACGAACTAAAACTATAGTGGGATACAAACCTCACGTACTTGATGGAAGTTGTTTGATACAGATGGTTATGTTTTGTGTAATATAAAATTATATAATAATGTGGGGTTTTATAATCCTGAATCAATATTGTAAATATTGAGGTTTGGATTATATATTGTTCTTTTGTCATGTTGATTATATTTCACAGTAAATTCATGTGGTTCTCTCAAAAACGAATTTACTCGGTTACCAAACCAGTAATATGGGTTTAGACTCTAGAGAGAGATGATGATGGTTGATATAATCAAATGAAATATAAATATATAAATGATATAATCAAATGAAATATAAATATATAAAAAATAGAAAGCAGAAGCATTATGAATCATGAACAAATCTACTTTGTTTTACTATAGACGTGGGCTAATTACGCACTAGCAACAACGCAAGCTTACTTCATAAAATCTGAGACGAGTTTCAAGTTCAGTCGATTCTTCTGAACAAAACTGAGGGAGGCTAGGGTGGCAAAAAAAAACTGAGGGAGGCTATGGCGAAAAATGTTATGCATGTACATTTCTTCAGTTTCTAAATAAAAGTTTCCCTCTGTCAAATTAGTTTCCTTTTGTTTCTCTTGAATTGTACTCTCTGTTTGTCCTTGAAGAAAAGCCCTTTTACATTACACGATCAACTTGTCCACTATAAACCCTATGAAAATTAAATGAAACCCATTTTCACACGGTGCCTAACGGATCTTTTTTCTACTTGTTTGAGTAAATCAAAATTTGAAATGTTGTGAAGGAAAAGATAAAGGGAGAGTCTTTTCTGAGTTTTCTCCTTTCCATATGCTAATGTTTTTCTGTTGGGGGAAGGGGTACGGGTGGAGAAAAACTTGCATGTCACATATCACACGTGGCATAACGTGATTGATTGGGGATAGCAAAACAGTTCTATATTCCCATGACATGCAAGTTCTTCTTTCTTCTCGTAGGGGTGTGGTGGAGGTTGTGGTTGAGAATGACCAAGACTAGCTTTTGTACTTGGAAAGGAAACATACAATTTGTTTATGCATTGAAGAACATATATATTATTGTTAAGTCATTGGCCCTTAATCAATTTTGGTGCTAATTGCAGCATGTTGAAATTCCAATTCCAAATCCAAACAAAGATCAAGGGAGGGTGTTGCTGAAATTGGAGGCGGCTAGTCTAAAGTCAACCCCATTTGATTGGAATGGAAAGTTTGAGAAAGGTATGCCGTGGACTTTGTTGCCTCGCCAATTTTCACACGTACCTCATGTGACAGCCACTCGCACTTTTGTGGAGCTCGTAGCCTTGACTTGGTCAAGACCTCAGAAGGAGCAAGCAGTTCTACAAGAGAAGAGTCCATCTCCATTTGGTCCAAAATATGATGCTGTGATGTGATCCATTAGGCATTCCTTTGTCAACTTTTCAGCCTAATTTGAGTGCCACTGGTATGATGCTGCTGTGATACTAATGCGAGCTCATGAGTATAACTTGCCTCTAAAAATTGAATTGTAAAAGTTTGGTTCAAGTCGGCAATCAGAATTTTCCAAAATTTTTCTTTTAAGTTCGATTCAATTTTCGGCCTACACATTGTGAAAATCAGAACTTTTTCAAAGAAAGCACAACCTATAGCACTTTTCAAAGAAAGCACAGCCTATATATACGTCAAAACCATTCCACAAGAATGTAGTAACACGTCCTCTCTCTCTCTCTCTCTCTCGTAAAATCTAGGATCTTTCCTTTCTCGTCTGTCCCTGCTGACTCAGGGTATGACATTGGCAGCCATGGTGACAAAGCTTATGCGTGCGGTTCAGTACAACAGCTATGGTGGGGGAGCTTCTGGTTTAAAGGTTCCTTCTTTATCTACTTGTTTCTTCTATCAATGTTATTTGGTAGAATTCTCGCATATTTCATTCCCTGCTGTGATTTTTGCTTCTGACATTTTGTTAACCGCTTAATATTCTCTGGTGTGTAAAAAATGTATCAACTTTTAGAGTGGTGGGAGAGTTCAGGCTTAAAACTGAGTGCATCAAAAATATGTTTGGCCTTGAAATCCCACAGGGAAAAAAGAGAAACTGAACAACCAGTGAGAAAATGCTTCAGGGTTGTGTTGAATGTTTACTTGCTTGTGACTCTTTTTCGAAAGCAATAAATCCAGAGACGAAATCATACGAGTGTAAAAAGACCACAATAAATTGTTTTAAATATATTTTATGTTTGATGCAGCATGTAGAGGTTCCAGTGCCCACTCCAAAGAAAGGTGAGATCTTGCTGAAATTGGAAGCAGCTACTATAAACCCGGTTGATTGGAGAATTCAGAAAGGCAAGATGCGGCCTTTTTTTCCACCCAAATTCCCTCATATACCTGGTAAGTTCTGTTTTGCCTGGTTTTCCCCTAAACCCCTTCTTATATTCATGTCATTCAATTGGTAGCATATAAGCTGCAACATACTGATCAATAAACTGCCTGATTTTTATTAATTACTACATCATTGGAACATAAAGCATACTCTCTGTGTCCCAAAGAGATTGCCTTCTTTGAAGAAGTGATCATAATGGTTACAGATTAATGCGTCTCGACTCTCGATAAAATCTCTCATTGAGACTTTTATTCATTTGCGGAAGTATTGGGAGAGTTGAGGTAGATAAATTACTTGGATTCTGAAACAAATTTGTGCTTCGATTTTTAAAATGGGTGAACATCATTCCTATGTTACGAGAAGAGTTTTGTGATTTATACAAGCAGTGTTTGTGAGTCTTAGGCTGGTAGGTTGGTTTGTTAACATTGATTGGCTAATGAAAATATTGGGAACAGCTACTGATGTTGCTGGAGAGGTTGTAGAAGTTGCAAAAGGGGTCCAAAAGTTCAAACCGGGCGACAAAGTTGTGGCATATCTGTTGTGAAATTATTGCAAGCGCACAATTCGTACAAGTAATATAGAAATAAGTAGAGTGTCGTTCCCACGAAGACTGTAATTTCCTATTAACTACCAATTATGATTAATTTAGAAGTTTATTTGAACAGTTAATTAAGAAGATTGATTGATTCAAGAAAACTAAAATAATTATGAAAAATAACAATTTAATTAACGATAGAAAATTAAGATGATGAGACACTAGAGCATCCGATTTCACCATAACCAATTCTACTTAATTCTTATAGCCAATTAACCCTAATTACTATCCCTGTTGACAGTTGGTTTCTCCTAATTCATTCGATATCCCCTCTCGGGCTCAACCAAAAGTATTCTCAATTAACAACCCATTCTCTCTCGAGCAACGGATTTAGAAAACTAAGAACCCATTAAGTTCTATGAGAACCTACAAGAAAACTGCATGAGTCATGTTAGTCCCTCTCGGGCACTCATTCAAGTCATGGTATTTGTTACAAGAAGCAAACACCAAACATCTCCTCTCGGTCTCCGCTTGGATCATCAATTAAATATTAGCTAGATATTTAAATCATTAAGAACAGTAACAAATACTCAACATGGGATAATAATAAGGAATTAATATAACTATAAAAATTGAGTATTCATGGTTAGGCTACATCGTAGCCCTAGCAAGGAAAATTAGTTCATGACAAAAGAAAAGATAAATAAGAGAATTGTTGTCATAAAACCGATTTGGCCGATGGATTTGATCTCTGGATTCTCCACAGCAACCACTTTCGAAAGCTCCTCAAGTAGTGCAGCAGCAAATTCTTGGCTCTCTCTAATATTTTTCTGGTTATATGAAAGTTGTGTATAGGAAGATGATGGAAAAGATGATCCTCCCTAGAGAGAACTTAGGGTGACCTTATATAGTGTAAAACAACTAAACCCTACTCTAAAAAGGTCTGGAAAAACTCTCCTAAAGCAAAACCAAATTCCAAACAATTAAGGAAACAAACTAGGAAAGAATCCTTATTTGACTTGGAAACACGTCAGCCAACTTGCACGCACGTTTTGGGGTCGTTCCACTTCCTAGAAAATTCTGGAAAAATATGAGAAACGTAGCTTTATCTCTAAGCTTTCCAAGCATATATTACACACCACTAGGAAAAATCGGAAAGATATTCAAATCTTCACTCTTCCACAGCAGTGCAGTTCTGACGGGATTTCAACTTAGGCTGTCTTGACTTGCAGGTCTGGAGCATTTGGCTTGGTAGAAAATTATGAAACTTTGATACAATGATCTTCAATATCTTAGCTTTCTTCTACAATTGGCCTTGCACTAAAATTCATTCGAAAAGTCGATTTTCATTTGAAATTCTTCCAAGAGTGCAGAATCGATGACAATATAGGAAGTATGGTAATAATGCTCTCTTTAATTAACTTTTCCTACAAAAACCAAATAAAAGAGGTATCAAAATATAGGTATAAAAAACAAAACAAAAAATAATATTCTGGCAAAGAAAGAATGGAAACTCCAGCTCCGAACTTCACCAATTCCATCAATCCCATGACTTCCATTACTTGACCCCTGGCCTCCTTCAATAATTTTCTTATGTCCCAGCTCTCTGTATTATGCAGGATTAAATATGGTGGTCCTCCTCATCTTCGAATTAAAGGTAGTGATTATAATATCTCTCAAATAAAAAATAATTTTTATTACAAATTGTCCTTGAACTTTCTAACTGCCTTAATTTTAGTCCTCAAACTTTCAAATTAATAAATTATCCTTGAACATTTGGAGATGTGCAAGCAATGCAGGTGACCTCCCCACCACAAAAAAAAAAAAAAAAAAAAGGGCAAACATCCACAATATTTGG